CAAGACCTCGGCACTGCTCGGGATGCTTAGGAGAATATTTTATCGTTTTACGCCTGAAATTCTCCCTATTATCATGAACACATATCTCCGGCCGACAATGGAATACGCGATCCAAGCCTGGTCTCCATGGCTGCAAAAGGATACACAACTGCTAGAGCGTATCTACCACCGCGCGACCAAGCTGGTCATTGGCCTCCGAAACGTTCCCTACAGTGAAAGGCTACGTAAACTCGATTTGTTTGATTTAACTTATCGGCGTATACGAGGAGACCTCATCCTGATGTTCAAGATAATAAACACCCCTAATCACCCTTTAAAACATTTGTTCACAGTTAATTTGGCCCGACAGACCCGACGGAATCCATTGGCCGTTGACATTCCATGTTCCCGCATTAACTGTCGGCGCTACTTTTTTCAGTCCGCGTATCCCTCACGTGGAACAAACTACCAACATCTGTTGTGGATTGTGGTAACCTCGAGACTTTCAAACATTCGCTTGACGAATACATAAGATCTCACCCAACTTCCCTCATCAACAATAGAACATATATGTCATATCATTCCGTTTATCTGTATACATACACACACACACCAATATCCTTTGGTCATTGTAAAGCAAAATGCTTTTTAGACCAATATAACCTTGATTTACCTTGATTTACCTTGAATGAAAATGGCACACTGAACGCCCAAGATTTGGTTGGTACTTAAAGTTCAATCGATCATTCTTATCTAACCAATCAGAATGTAGCGATTACTCGCGGTCGATGACTCATCGTTGTAGAGTGGTTCAATCGATCATATTAATCCATGTTACCATATTTGTAAACTATTCGCCAATCCAGTCACGTTGTATTCAGAAGCGACAGTAGCTGAACATCACCGAGCATTCTGGCATTGACTGATTTTCAAGGCCAAATGCACTTCTGCAATACCAAAAAAATATCCAGGCAAAGAATTCTGTTGCAGTTGTCACATGCTGCTGACGAATTCCATGGTCCAACTCAGTCGCACTGTGCATTACGAGAGAGCTCACAATAATCTGCACTGATGTGATCGATCGATTGGGATAGACGAGGGACACGTTCTGGTGCGCCCAAAGGATACCGACATAAACTACGCGTCGTCTGTCCCCGAAGAAGTCGCAGAAACCTCTCAGTGACGGGATTCATCTGACAAGATGTCCTGAACATGCACTCAACCTACATCTGCGTAACAGTTTCGAGAGTGCAATGTGTACTTTTCATAGACAGATTTAGAAAATTTGATAGACATGACACAACACGCCACGCGTGACACCATTCAAATCGTGAGACCGATAATCGAGGAAAGAGAACAACGTTAGGACGGCGGATGACTGCTCACAAGGAGAGACATAATTCAGTGGTTCAGCGCAGTCCGTTGTATCTAAATGTCGGATCGATATCGGAGCAAAACGGATTGCGTATGAAAGTATATGAAAAAGCGATACAAAATATTGACAAGTTTAAAGGACGAGCGAAGAAAACCAGAGGTCAAGATTGAGCTGGAATTGACGTGATTGCCACCAAATTTTCGCTTAGTATAAGTAAACCAGCTTTGTCGGTATGAATACATGAACCAGTAATAAGACGCGACCTTCACAACAGATGAACAGCCCGAACTTGTCGCATCAACAACGCAATTGTTGTTTTGACTCAGAAATTCGGCATTCTTGATTATTTTAGAACAGAACCTACTTATCGAAAAATACACTCATTTGCTAATCACGTTGGCTTTCACGGGAGACTCAACTTAATCTCTCGTTTATGATATTCTACAACTAAATGTGCCACCTCACGATTCAGTTGGCATGATATTCGAGAGATATCGCAGTATATTTTCATAAAGGAAATTACTCACAAGGTAGCTGAAAACTCTTCGACAGCCCAAGACCGGTTCCACCCTTCTTGGGACTCATCAGGTAGGTACAGTCCCCGAGTTTCTGTCAACCTTATAAAAACCAAATTGATTTGCAAATGAGTGTATTTCTCGAAAACAGTCCAATTTGGGTTCAAGTAGAACATAAGGTTGACGGAAACTCGGGGACTGCGCACCTACCTGATGAGCCCGAAGTGGAAGGGCGAAACCGGTCGTGGGCTGTCAAAGAGTTTTCAGCAAACTTGTGAGTAGTTTCCTTCGTGAAAACCTAATTATTTTCAAAAAATGAGTAAACTCCAAGGGATAATTCCCTAAAAGCAATAGACACAGAGGAGTTAGCCCTCCAAACCTGGTTGGAACTTCTGGGAACGGAACATACCTCGTAGTTTCAGGACTGTTCGAGACTGTTACGATCGATGCATTTGTTTGAATTCATCACTAATCTTACGAGCCGAGAGACTTGTACAGGTATAGAAGCGAATAGGCCCGAAGGTCGTATCTGTGATGCCTTTCTCCCTGAGGGCATCAACTCCTAAGGACCGCACTCGACTCCACCGTAGCAGAGTGTATCTCGGAGCTAGGCAAAAGTTAACTATTCCCTTTCCATCCTGTACTACATACAGTCGGCTTTTGTTTGACCCAGAGCTAAGTGATAATAAAGAGTGGAACTATCGATCCGATGTACTGTCAATCGATTTTTAGTCGGAATTCACTGAACAACGCAGATTGATTGCAACCCGAACATCAGTTTGCTTTGGGGTAAGCATAGAGAAGGGGTACACCTATATCCAGTACTCACTGGAACCGACCCATAAACCAGTGAAGGTGTCTAGACGTCCGAAAGTGCTTGGTGGACACAGCACTTGTGTGGTTGAGTGTAGGCTCACGACCAATCAGATGTAGGACACTTGTGAAGGGACAACCTGGGTAGACTGGCAGTTGCTCACATCCCGTAAGTGGGGCCTGAAAAGCCGGAAGTCACTGTACAGCTGTTTCATTGGTCATCAGCTGATTGGCCTCGGTATAGATTCGCTTCACTTACAGGACCAAATCTTCACCAAGGGTTTCAAAATCTCCAGCAAGTAGTCGCATCTTTGGATACTCAAATATTGAAGCACCAAGCATGGTCCTCTTGTCAACAGACGGCCAACAAGCGGCCAACCCCTTCTTTGGATTTTCCTCATCGACAATGCAGCTGGTGCAAATTTGATCAAACGCGTAACAGTTTAGAACTGCAAAAACCTGGGAGAAAAAGTTTTGTTGTCTTGCAAATCGGTTTTGTTTTCTTGTAAAGTACCCAAATTCCAATGGGACACGGAATCTTGTTGGCCGATGGCCTTGATAGATTCGGTTGAGTTATTGGGGCATGGAATGCATTTGTAACACAAGGTTCAAGGGCGATTTTGAGTTCTGTGGGTCAAACGATCCTGATATGTTCACCCGGCACTCACATTGCGCGGTGTTTTCCGTATGAAACTGGAACAAAAACGTTGGAAACAAAAGCCGTCTTGCATCTCGTGAACACTGTTCGGGTAAGTGAAGTGAGGGAAATGTGTGCATGGATTCTACGAATGGAAAACTTCATCAGGAAGAGACAGACCAACAAATGTCATCACCATCATCATCATCATTATCATCATTGTCAGCTGTAATAACCGCGTACTCGTCGTACAGTGGTTGTAGCTGCCGCAACGATGATTCGAAGAGGTGGAGTAGGTAGCTGCACATTGCAGGCGGGAGATGATAAATTGGTGCATAAATCCAGCACTGTCAGTAGGCTGTCAGGTGGGTGGGGGTTCGAAACGGAGCTATGCGTTGAAGCCAATAGCTTGGATGCACAAGCGCGACTGGGGCGCGACTGGGCGATGTTTGACAATGTCTCTAGCCATTGATGTGGCCCGTCTCGGGATCCCCATTTAGAAGGACGGCAGTGACCAGCACAGCTGAGTTTGCTGGTATTGGCTTTCATACTTCACTGCCAAGTCATTGTTTGACCGCCTCTGTCTCTCTTCCACACTTCACGTGGTTGTGCAAGAAGGACCCTTCGAGGAAGTCGGTCGACTGGCATACGCAGCACGTGGCCAGGCCAGCGCAACCACTGGACTACTCGAGATTGGCAGTGTGGAACTAGATAAGTTCCTACAGACGTGTCAACAACCAATCAGCCACCACGCCTTCAAATCTGGCTGTTGACACTGTGATGCCAGAATGCGGTTCACGTATGCAATGTCCTCACTGCAAAAATACATCCTAGAACGACCGCAGTTCCTTCGGGTGACACAATGCAAGAAAGCGGTCCTAAACAATATACACGGAGCTCTCTTCGACAATGATATTTGTTGGACGTGTTATGAGGTTGCGATGATACCTCACGAGACACAGCACTAGGGTGTCAGTCGGGCGTCGGCTATCGCATCACATTCTGACATATTGAAACAATTGCGTGAGGACGGTAATGCGACTCAAGCAAGAAATCGATCGGTGACAGCACGTTCCCAAGGGACTTGTTCGTCAGGGTTCGGATTGCTAGACCAGGTGTACAGATATATCCTACAGGTACATTTTGTAAACACCAGTGTCCCTGTTTTATGCAAAGTGTGTTTGACGTCGACGGTTGTATGGAGCAAACTGGAATCGATGATCGGAGGTCACCTGACCGATTCCTCTGCGTCCACCCGATGGGCCCCTGCTGAAAAACAGCGTTCTTTTGACTGAGGCTCTCGGTAGCACAAAGTACTTCGTTACAGGTACTAAGCAAGATGCACTCGCGTGCACACCAATTTGGTTTTACTGGGGATCCAACTGGATCCCAGCTACATGGTATTAAAACACCGTCTTCTCTTCAAGCTCGTGCGATCTACTACTCACTACTCACAAGGCTCCCGAAAACTCTGCCTCGCATTAGCCGAGTTTCCAATCAGAAAGAGATTCAGTTGGAATTCAATTGAGCCTCTCGTCAAAAGCAGATCGGAGTGCGAATGTGTGTAGTTCGCGAATTCCGGACTCAAGAAGAGCATACAGTTGACGGAAACCCGGGGACTGCTCCTATCTGATGGAAATTGCCTTCGAAGAATTTTCTGTGACATCGCGGATAACTTCTTTCAAAATCCTTTGAGTACTACTTTTATTCCTAAGAAGGGAACGATATAAGGCAACTCTGAAGTCTTGTTTATTCTTTTTTAGAAAAAAGTAGGGACAAATAAAAAATGGCGCAACCTATAGTTTATTTATACCATCCTGCTTCTGTTTTAGGGAACGTGATTTGTTGGTTCGAAAGACATGGAAAAATCAATATCTTGCTGGTCGATTTCCTTATCGGTCATCCAATCAGATTTGAGCAGAATACGATTGAATTTCTTCTGCTGGTTATTGTGCAGACTATTTGGCTGTTTGTAAGACTGTCTTGAAGGCTGACCGCTTGAATACAGTGCTGGAATTCAGAAGTACCGCGTACGGTTTTGCCCGGAACCAATCACTTCAACAGTCACTGTTGCATATAAACCTACATATGAAAGGGGTAATGAATGGCTTGTACGTGGTGATATTTTCTTCCTCGCCGGCCACAAGTGTAGCCTTTCGAATATGTGATGTTACGATCGCCCCAGACCCCTGAACAACAAGACAAATCGTACAGCGTAGACGTGTGTAAGAAATCGCACTGTCTGGTCATGAGCAAACGGGTTGGATAGACATCAACCGGTGTGAATATCAGTCACACACTCCGTGTGTGCTTGCACCTATGGGACTATTCTATTACTCTGTCTCTTCAAAAATGCTCTCTTTCACAATCGACTTTCAAAACAAAACTGTTTAACTTTTTTCATAAAGGAAAACTCTTCGAGAGCCCACGACCGGTTTCGCCCTGGCTCATCAGGTAGGCGCGCAGTCCCCGAGTTTCCGTCAACCGCATGATCTACTTGAACTCAAATTGCACTGTTTTCGAGAAATACACTAGTTTGCAAATCAATTTGGTTTTCACGAGAGACTCAACTTAATCACAAGGTTGCTGAAAACTCTTCGACAGCCCACGAACAACTGAAACATGAGGCGGCTTGTGTGCAGCACATTCAGTTGTAGAATATCGTAAACGAGAGATTCAGTTGAGTCCCTGGTGAAAACCAAATGGATTTGCAAATGAGTGCGAAGATATCTGCTCTTTTTCACTTCCAATGCCAACCATCCTTAATTCTCCTGGAAACAGCCTTTGTAAGCTTTCTGATGTACCCCCGGGAAACTCGCAATTCGACAACGTGAAACAACGCCCATATACTGTGGAATTCCGTGCAACAGTTGGGCAAAGAACACGACGTGAATTTGGGCAACAGGCCTCCTCTATGTAGTGAAACGAACCAAAAATGCGTATGATGTAGCTGCTCTGTAGCCGGAGTTAGCCTCTGATTTCAGCATGAGCTTAGGTGTTTGCCACTGTCTTGATCCCGAACAGCCAACCAGCTCGGCGATTCCACACGGTTCCTGATGTGGTTCAATCCAGTCGCACTACAGAATCCGATAGGCACTTCTCGAAACCGTCAGATAGGTGCGAAGCGCAAAAAACGCACGGCAACCTTCTACTTGGCCCAACCGATACCGACAAACTGTGTGTCAGTTCCTCGTGAGGACACTTTAACGTGAAAACACTGGCGTGATGTGCAAACCAGCCTGGTTGAAGTGAGGATAGACATCAACCGGTGTGAATATCAGTCACACACTCCGTGTGTGCTTGCACCTATGGGACTATTCTATTACTCTGTCTCTTCAAAAATGCTCTCTTTCACAATCGACTTTCAAAACAAAACTGTTTAACTTTTTTCATAAAGGAAAACTCTTCGAGAGCCCACGACCGGTTTCGCCCTGGCTCATCAGGTAGGCGCGCAGTCCCCGAGTTTCCGTCAACCGCATGATCTACTTGAACTCAAATTGCACTGTTTTCGAGAAATACACTAGTTTGCAAATCAATTTGGTTTTCACGAGAGACTCAACTTAATCACAAGGTTGCTGAAAACTCTTCGACAGCCCACGAACAACTGAAACATGAGGCGGCTTGTGTGCAGCACATTCAGTTGTAGAATATCGTAAACGAGAGATTCAGTTGAGTCCCTGGTGATAACCAAACTGTTTAACTTTGAAACACTTCGAAGATATCTGCTCTTTTTCACTTCCAATGCCAACCATCCTTAATTCTCCTGGAAACAGCCTTTGTAAGCTTTCTGATGTACCCCCGGGAAACTCGCAATTCGACAACGTGAAACAACGCCCATATACTGTGGAATTCCGTGCAACAGTTGGGGCAAAGACACGACGTGAATTTGGGCAACAGGCCTCCTCTATGTAGTGAAACGAACCAAAAATGCGTATGATGTAGCTGCTCTGTAGCCGGAGTTAGCCTCTGATTTCAGCATGAGCTTAGGTGTTTGCCACTGTCTTGATCCCGAACAGCCAACCAGCTCGGCGATTCCACACGGTTCCTGATGTGGTTCAATCCAGTCGCACTACAGAATCCGATAGGCACTTCTCGAAACCGTCAGATAGGTGCGAAGCGCAAAAAACGCACGGCAACCTTCTACTTGGCCCAACCGATACGCCGAAAGGCACTTCTCGAAAACGGTGCGAAGCGCAAAAACGCGCGGCAACCTTCTACTTGGCCCAACCGATACCGACAAACTGTGTGTCAGTTCCTCGTGAGGACACTTTAACGTGAAAACACTGGCGTGATGTGCAAACCAGCCTGGTTGAAGTGATTGCCATCACATCTCGGTCAATCAACTTTTATAAGTCTGAAATCTGCTTCTGTCATGTTTAAAATCACACAGAGTCCCTCCCGAGCATCTAGAGGATATCGACCGCCAAGAGACCATTGAGGAACTCGCCAATGGTACCAGAGTTGTAGCGAATCAGCTGTGAATTTCCGTCGTGTCCGACTAAGGGAATGCAAACATCCTGAGTAGTTCTATGAATATGGCCCCTGTGTGTTAAGCTGGAGGTCCGGGGTTCGAGCCCACAGCCGAGAGTCTCTTTTCGCCTCATTACATGTACCCTGACTTTCCCAGGTTTTATAACCAGCAAACTTATTGAGTGCACTGCAGAAGAGCTAAAAAATATGGTGAAAAATCTCCAAAAATGCGGTAAAAACTCAAGCACATATGATCCACCGTATGCAGTATCCGAAAACTGCAATGGAAAGAAAGCACTTGAAAATGCTGCAGTGGGCCTCTATTTGCAACGAAAGTTTCGCGAACCCTTCTCCACCCGTAGTACTCTTCTGTGACGATAATCCGCTGAAACGAATGTCCCTGATTGGAGACTTACTTACCATAACAGTGCTTTCTTCCGAGTTCCCTCCGTAGCTACTTTTACACCTTTCATTCGTGAATTTTTCGTGCTTCATTATTCCTCAGCCATGCGAAAACCTTGTTTTCAATTTTTGTTTGAAAATACTAAGAGCGAACACGTTTTTTCCTAGGATGATTCTATTCTCAAGGTCGGCGAGAGCTCGTGAACAGTCAGCTCTGGTCTCCAAAATCCCACCAGTCCGCAGAGTCACGTGAATCTCAGTCAGACAAGATCGCAAGCGAATGACTTGGCTGAGGCTTGGTTTCGTCCTTGGACACCAAAATGGCGTCGGTTTCCCAAGGTCGTCTTCTAGTTAAAACCAAGATAATTTACCATGTAGAGGCTGTCAAAACTTCCAGAAGGGTTCATTTCATCTCTCTCGTTTTTTTTCAGTCGAGAGTTGGACAGAAATTTAAAACTACAGCAAAAAGGTGTTCAGCTGCTTTGGACTCTGAAGGGAACACTCTCCGTTTGCACCAACAGATGGTGCCCTCATATGAGAGGGTCGATGAACAGGAAAGAAGTACAAATCACCTCCCAGTGGTCAGTTTGCTTGGTCTAGAATCACAAATTTCGGTTTTTCAGCTTAATATTCACTCGGCGCCCCCCTCATTGACAAGGATATCATGCCGGTCCGCTTTGTACCCATCACGTGAGCTGCGAAACCGCCAAGGACGATGATTTGACCGAACTCCACAGATGCAGATTACAGAATGAAAAACTGAAGAAGAAAGTAACGACATCAGAGGGGAAGGGTTGAGAGAAAAGCGCTTGCTGACGAAGAACAAATAATGCTCTAAAATATTCGATTTTGAGAACAACTCTGAGGACATCAGAAGATCTGGGTAATTAGTCAAACACAGAGACGCACATTGACGCTGTGCAGCAGACTGGGGAAATTTATCAAGCGGCGCAGTCCCAAAAGAGAAAACTGACAGCAATCGAAAGCTCCGGTTGGTGGTATTACAGGCTTTAAAAAAAACCGATGGAAACAAGACTACCGAACGAAAAGTAAGGTAAAAGTGCCGAAAACGTGGATGCCCGGATAAAAAAGTCTACGAACGAAAGTCATCGCATGAACAAAACCGATCCTCAAATCTTGAGGAAGTTTTTTTCAACAGGTTCGTGACAATTCACGTCAGTGGAGATAGTAAAACTAAGGTATTTGATACGGTCACTGAATTGCACTTAGCGACACTAATATCAAGAGGTCTGCTCACTACGCATTAGTGTGGCCCGCCCGGATGAGTTTCACTGTCGCACTTTAGCCGAGTGACATTTTGTTTATGCCCTCTCTAACCAAGCTTCCAGTAGTACGGAGCAAGTTCTATCAAAAGAAGCCTTAACCTTATGGTTTGTCAGTGTGCCGCTCCCCAAATTTGAACAAAATCTTGTAAAAATTGAATAGAAACGGTGGTAAAACAGCTCCCTCAGCAGCGCCACCCTCGAGTCTTGGTCAGCTTTCCTGGATTTTGTTTTGCACGGCTGGGGTTTTTGATCGATTGAATCAAAGGCATTGCTAGAAACCCCAAGTTAGACACGTTCTGATGTCTAAAGCCTTCAAAAGTGCATATGCGTTGGAGAGAAACCAACTCATCCATGGAAAATCTACGTGTCTCGCGATGTATGGAGACACTCACCGGAGAGGTTGAAATGCAAGGAGTAAAACGTTCCACAAAATAGGTGTGCATGACCTTGGGGGGAGTCTTGGTGGGTTGTCAAGTTGACCGACTTTGGGAACAACAATTGTTTTATCGATCCATCATCAGCAGTGGAGCAACTGGCGTAACGGAACAGAGGTTTCCTGGGGACATATCCACTTCAACACCAACGATTTCACCTTGTTTGGCTGGATGCGTCAGCATTCGATATCTGTAGTGGCGTGTGCAGCCTGGGTTGTAGAAAGCGTTCTTGAGCTCGCAAACGCATATAACAGCCACGATACATCGCTTATTTTGGCTCGCGTAGTTCAAATTCATATTGAAATTGTCCAGCTGTAGCGCCCTTTCGGTGCCTAACTGCCATGCCACCTGAAGGTTGCAAGAGGGCTGGAATACTGCCAGGTCGCCCAAGCCTAGACAGGAGAACTCGAGAGGTAGAGGTCGGGTTCGAACCACGGACCTTCCAGTCAGTAAATTCGCACTCTAACCAATTGAGCCATCTCTCTCGCGTAGTTGACAGGCTTTGAATACATTTCAACTGATCAGCGACTTTATGGATTTCGTCTGAGTTTCATCGATCGGCATGAGGTGAAACGGCCTGGTTTCCGGCACGGGATTCCTCAGAGAGATCAAAAGTTTAGGCTGAACTCCAAGAAACAAGAAAGCACGCGAGCTTTGCCACTTTGAGCACAGTGAAGTCCTTGGTCCCGAGCACATGTGGAAGATTCTCAAATACTCCATCGAAATCGACGTTTTTGAATGTGAGCTGTTTCTCCACCGTGCAGTTTGGAGTCAACTTTAAAGAAGGGTCCTGCGAAAAAGTGATCAGACAAAGGTAGAGGCGTCCATCAAAGTGGTCACAGTTCGATCTGGCACCGCATACATTGACGCCTCTTTAGTTTCCCGACAGATCCCTCCGAAAATCCACTACTGGGAGAGGACTCGCTCTGCGTGGTTTTTACGGCGAGATATTAGCGTTTCATCAATCTCGACGTGTAGACCTGGGCTGTTGCAGTCTGCAAAAGTCACCAGGCGCAAACTTCGCGAAGAAAGTTCTTCCAGTCAACAGCGCTCGTGTGGCTAATAGATAATTCTTCTGAGCAGAATTTGATTTTTGCCAAATTTTTGGACCAGCAATAAATGAATAGAATTACTGTCCTAAACTCCATCCTAGACCGCTTCAGACAAGTTCCCTTTCGAAGACCCTGTTTCTTGCCGACACTGTCGGGCCTTACACCTCCACCTGTCAGAAACAGTTGAAAGTGTCATTTGGTGGCCATAAAGGTCACTGATGGATCACTCCTTGGCTTTGCGAAAAACGTATTGCCGTCTCCTTATCATGAACGAGAGTTGAAAACGTCAGAAAGTTCATTTAAGGTCTTACGAAGGTCCGGACGGAGAAAACGTTTGCACAAAACGAACCTATATGCGGATAAGGAATTGTTTTCATCAAAAATAGGTGAAGGTCGTGTGCGTACATTAAATTGGAGGTGGCACAAAATGGGGGGCGCGTGGCTTAACTTTTCGCATCTGCACTTTTTGCATTAGTGGTGGGACTTGTCTGTAAAAGATCCGTGAGCTTTTTCCCCACCATGCAGTCGACTACAGACAAGGGGGCCGCGAAAAAGTGTTGTTCGTTTTATCAATGTACGATGACGAACAGTTCAAAACTGTTGAGCTTTCAACAGGCCGTTATCCAGAAAGGAGTCAGAACCGTCGAGGCCACACGATTTTTAAATTTGTTTTCCACATTTTGAGCCAAAAGAAACTATTTTTCAGAGTACGGTGCACATTCATTCTCATTCGACAAAATCACCGCCGTGTACACACATTCACTCCGTGTCCTATTAAAAATAAGTTGATATGAATAAGAACTGTGCAGTTTTGATCTGACAATCCATTTAAAATTCTGAGTGGGGTTGAAAAAGAAACCAGGTCTACTGGGAAAGATCGCTCGACAAAAGGAACTGGCTCCGAAGATATATTTACCCATAGCATGCACGCAGTTGCACGAGTGTACTTTACTGACGCTCCAAGTTTGTCACAATGTAAGTGCGCTGATGAAAAGTGAAGAGCGTGACATTTTAAAAGTGGCCTACCCATGATTAGAAACGTTCCTTTCACAGTTCGCCGACTCACCCCAGGGAAGTTCCTCAGAAGGACCATCCCTCCCCTCACCTTCCAGTAAGCGATACTTCCAAGCTAGAAGGCATCCGAAAACATGCTAAGACATCGTTTTATGTCTTCATAAAGGAAGCCACTCCTTTGACAGCCTGTGTTGTCCTTCTCACAGCTCATCAGGAAGGCACAGTCTCCAAGTTTCTGTCAGTTTCTACTTGAACCTAAATTGTATGAATATCACAAACGAGAGATTCAGGTGAATCACTCATGAAGAGTGTAATTATCGAATTCTTCTTTTTGCTGAGACTAACACACACACCCCTCCCGCATTTATTTCAACTGAACTGAGAACCATAACTATTACAAACCTGTATTTTTGTATACACGATGCATCAATGTCACCCACCCGTGTGCTACAATAAATTATCGACCCGGCTAAACCAGGTTCATTCATGAGAAAGCTCTACCAACCAAGTAATGTTGCACGAAAGCGGAATAACCTTTTTTCACGTGATGCCTGACTGTGAGTCCTGGATCAGAACCCTATTTAAACTTGAGAGGAATAGTATCCATTTTAGCAGCCCAAAATGCCTTTTGTTTTGGCTGTGTAGCGGTCACTCACGCATCACAAACACTCAAATCACGTGAGAACTTCTGTCCCACTTGCAACAATAACACTACAACGTCCCATCCATTTTTGTTTACATGGTTACCACCTGCGTCACCCGCCAGACTTACGAACTTCAGTCACGTTCGGTCAAGTTGTACTATAATCAAACACGATTGGACACCCCTCTTTTCATACTGCGTACGCAATAAATAGGTATGCAACTCGGCCAACGCACACACAGGACAGGGAGTCGACCGAGCTCCACCCGTCTCCATGGGCAACCGCGGAACACATGTAGCAGCTATGCTGCAGAGAAGACAAGTCCAGCGTCCGGAACTTCACTCAAGAGTTCTCAACAGCTTTCCCCAAACGATAAATCGCTTTTTGACTTATTCCACCTTTCGAATTGTACCTATTTTTATCAAGTGCACCATAATTCTGGTGCATCATTCTGGTAAAACAGACGTTTGTTAGTGCTTATCATCTTCTGATAATCAACTTCATTACGTTACAACCAGATCACCAACAGTTCTGGGTGAATTCAGTCTTCTCGGAGGCTGGTACTACTGAGTAAGCTGAGCACCCGTAACTTTGTCCGAAATCCCACGTGGAAGCAAGACAACCAAAATAGAGCACTGCAGAACATCATCATCATCATCATCATCATCATCATCATCATCATCATCATCATCATCATCATCATCATCATCATCAGCTGTAATAACCGCGTACTCGTCGTACAGTAGTTGCAGCTACCACAGTTTCGTTCATCGATGATTCGGGGAGGCGGGGTGGGTAGCTGCGCATTGCAGGAGGTGATAAATTTGTGCATAAATCCAGCACTGTCAGTGGGCTGTCAAGTGGGGGGATTGGGAAGGTAGCTATGCACTGAAGGCAATGGCTTGGATACACGAGCGACATTGAAGGCGCGACTGGACCATGTCTGACAATGTCTCTAACCATTGATATGGCCCGCCTCGTGGTCCCCATCCAGGAAGGCGGCAGTAACCAGCACAGCTGAGTTTGCTGGTAATTGCTTTCATACTTCGCTGCCAAGTCATTGTTTGACCGTCTCTGGCTATCTTCCACCCTTCACGTGGTTGTGCGAAAAGAGCCCTTCGAGGAATTCGGTCGACTGGCATACGCAGCACGTGGCCAAGCCAACGCAACCTGTGCAGTGTGCTCAGTTCATCCATCTACCGAATACCATTCGACGTACTTCAGAATTGCTGATCCGGTGTTCCCACCAGATTCGGTCAATGCTCCGATAGTCATACATTGAAAGTCTTTTGACGTCCTCGGTGCGCAGCGGCCACGTTTCTGCAGAAAAAGACGTCTTTTATTCCAGTCCGGTGAAATTCACCGTTCCGCTTATTTTTACTCAGCACGTTTGTGTAGCTCCCCCCAATTTTTTAATTTTCAATTTTCAATTTTTTCTGCCTGTAGTTGCTCGACAACTCATGACCTTAAGCTGCAAGTTCCACGACCAGGGTTCCAATATAACCCAGGTTATTCAAACCTGTAGCTAGCACCAGTGTTGATACTACCCACCTATGTTGGTTTAAAAGTGACTGTCGAATCGTGATTCCAGATATTTCCCGAAGCTGTAATGGTACCCTCACGAACCACAGTATCAGCAAGAATTCGGCTGTCACATCACAGTACTGCGTCCGAAACCGATTGCATGAGGATGGTTATACTAGTTACAAGCAAGAAATTGACCGGTGGCAGCGTCTTTGCAAGTGTCTTTATCATAGACCGAGTTCTTCACAAGCAAATACTACATTTTTCACTGTGTTCTTTCAATAATATATCGGCCTGGGTTATATATGGGCTGCGCCCTCAGATGTGTAATTCATGTGTTCCTATTTCCAAGCAAAGTCCCGATAAGTTAGTGAGAAATGTTCCATTCGTAGTTTTTAATTTATTCACGTTTCTTCGAAAACCAAATTCAGTACATTTGCATGACTGTATATCGATTGCTTCCCTGGTTCATACTCTGAAAGCCATGAATCACGTGCAACACCCCACATGATTCAAACATCTTATTGATTAGCTTCAGTCAAGAGTGAACATCGATCACTTGCTCTTCGAATCGATTGTTTAATACAGATCTGGTCATGCACCGCATTTGGGAGATATCGTGTTCATCATATCGCACTGATTCAATTGGTCCAAAATAACCGGTCTCAGCTACTCATCACACTGCCCGTCCCCTGGTCCCTGCGCAGATTTGTGGACCAAACAATCAGAATGTTTGGAAAGAGTCAGCTCATTCGAATTTCGAAGGCGCATGAGGAACCCAGCTGAAACTCTCGTTTGTGATGTTTCTAGGCAACTATACATTTTAGGCTCTGATCGAACTCAAGTTACCATGCGCTTTCAAGTTGTGCCCCCTAGCTCAAGGTCAAGTGCGTGTTCGAAACACATCCATTTGCTAGGTTGAACGTAAAAGTTAGATTTTCTTATCGTTCAAGCCACTGTACGAAACGGGGTTCATCTGGTGAACCGAAGCAATCGACCTTGAGTGTCCTAAACAAGCACTTATCATCTTG